TTTCTCTCTCTCTTTCATAATGTTAACAACATTATGTTAAGATGAAGGTATTGCAAAGCATCCTTGAGCTGTATTGTATTAGATTGGGTGCTATAGAAGTGATCTGCATCATTATTATTATTATTTAGGGGCACAAAAGGTATTTAAAAAATTGTATAATAGGGAGGCCTGCGTATTGACCCGTCATGTTGATCTTTTGCTGTGTCTTCAGGTGTCGGACTCTGTGAGTGGACAGACAGTGGTGGACCCCAAGGGCTACCTTACTGATCTACAGAGTATGCTCCCATCTCATGGCGGAGACATCAAGTAAGCGCCTCACCTAGAGTGTTGAATATCTAGTTCAGGAGGTCGGGGGTTTGTAGTTTTTGGTAAGAGTTTTACAGCACTTGCAATACTATACAGAAAGGTCATGTACGTGCTGAGTAGAAGTGTTACTAGAGAGTACCAAATACAAAAAAGGAGAGATAAGAATGATATATATGTTTGATAGGAAAGAAGGACCAAACCACTTCAAAGCGACCACCACCCTCCTACTTCTGGGGGTTGAATAAAGTATCTCTGTCTTTCCTGTGCAATATAACTCCGAGCAGACACTGTTGACCCTGGCAGGCAAGGTTGGAGCAGCTTGCCTTTGAAGGGATATAGATTATGGTTTGGGAAATGTCAACATGAACAACAAATAGACTGCGAGCTTTCTTGGTTTGTTCTGAAATGTGCTGCTGTTTTTTGGAAACTAACTTTTGTTTCTCAACTGCTTCTCTTAGAGTCTTTTCTCTTCTTTTATTTGTGATTGTCTGCTGAAGTTTTGGAAGTGGTTTGCAAGTCCTCTGGTGTGGTGTGTTCATTCTATTTCTTATTGTCTTAATTTGTTCCTGTTGAAATGTATGGATAGTTGGAGGACTCGCCTTGTACATTTTTATTATTACTTTTGACTGATTTCATGTGGGCACTGTGGAACTTGACATTGTAAGCCAAATTTCCCACAGGGATAAATAAATGCAATATTTTATTTTTCTTTAAAGTGAAAAGAAAAAATTCTTTGGGTGGTCAGTTTTCTAAGTTTTTTATTTTGTGTATTTCAGTGATGTGAAGAAGGCCCGTTTGCTGTTGAAATCTGTGAGAGAGACAAATCCAAAGCATCCACCAGGTCTAGTATCAATATCATCCTCAACCTTTCTCATCCAATATGGAAGTATAGGCCAGCAACGAGAGTCTATATCTGTCTACTTCTTGTGAGGGCTGTAATCTCCACTTCTATCCATCTGTATCCTGTCTCCTTAAAGCTACAAATCTCAGTTTTTTTTCCTAGTGCATTTAGGCATTCTTGTCTTTCTCTTTCCTTATTGATTCCATTTTAAGATGAAAGGTATGTTCTGTGATGAGTAATTTACCTCTCTCCCTTTTTCACTACTTCCTCTCACCTTCTCTCCTTCTGGAATGGTAGCATCCACATGTACACGGGTGCACTCACTGGCTACATTTTTGTGCAACAATACTGCATAATAGAAAGAACACTAGTTGTATTTGTGTGTGTCTGTAATGGGTTTGAGAAATCACACAAGAGGGTCAAAAGTAGATCTTAACGGCCAGTTTTCGTCTCCCCTCTCTTTGTACAGCCTGGATTGCCTCGGCTCGTCTGGAGGAAGTGACAGGGAAAGTGCAAGCGGCCAGGAACCTGATCATGAAAGGCTGTGAGGAGTGTCCCAAGTCAGAGGATGTGTGGTTAGAGGCAGCCAGACTTATGGTGAGTTTGTGTGTGTTTACGTT